ACCCTAAATTTTCACCCTTCTATCACCAATCCCTATTTTTTTATAGCGTTTTTAATTTATATAGCAAAACAACGTTTGCCGGGACAGCTAGTAATGTATAATAGAAGTAGTAGTATAGACAGCTTTATGTAAAGTACATACCTCGGTCACCTGTCTCATAAAATTCAACAAAAATGTTATTGGATCGTTTGTGCGACGACTTTTCTGTTGGTATGTCATTGTCTCTTTGTTGTGTGCCGCCGTGATCAAAGTTTCCACTTATAAGTTTGTTTTACAAGAATGTAATAAACATTTTTGTTAGTAAATACCTCTAATGTAATACTAAATAGTCCGATAAAGACGAAAATCGAGTTTGATAAAAAAATATAAATCTTTTCGAAACAAATGATTGAAAATTATAGAATAAAATAGCCTTAAACAATATTACAAAAAAGTACATTTCTTTTCAATAAAAAATGATGACACTAAATCATTTTGAGAAATACTTTCTTTGGTAGGTTCATCCCCTATTCGAAGCAAACAAATGATTGAAAATTATAGAATAAAATAGCCTCACGTTAATTTATGCCCTTAAGGGTGGAATTTCTCAAAATCCTTTCTTAGGGGATGCCTACGTCGTATTAGCTTTATGCATGCAAAGTCTCAGCCCGATAGATTTAAAATTGACAAAGTTTCATACAAACTTTCATCCCCTATTTTATCCACTTAGGGGTAGAAGTAATCAAAATCCTTTCTTAGCGGATGCCTACGTCATAACATCTACCTGCATGCCAGATTTTAGCCGGATCCATCCACTGGGGATTGGGCTGTGCGTTGATAGATCACTATGTCAGTCACCTTTCGCGTTATATATTATTTAATATGAATAATAAGATTATTATTATATATATATATTATATCAGAGGGACTCGTTTTAATAATATATTTTACTTATTATATTATATATTTTAAGGTTTTTATTTTTAGCTTAGTAGTATTAGTTAGTATTAACTTTTATTAATTTATAATTTACAACTTAAATACATAAACAAAAGATGTTTAACATTTCAGAAATTCTGTATGTTCAGCCCATACAATCGACTCCACAAACTCTAACTCGCCAGCATTTCATATGGAATGCCATGAATAATTTATGTCATACTTATAGCTGCTGTGACTAATCAAAACGAGATTTATGCCCATTCGTATAATCATGTCAAAACGCTTGTATAACATACATTCTATGAATAATGGTATATTGCCAATTGAAGGTTTTAAGCAAGCATATTTATTAGTTACTAGCTACTCGCCCCGGCTTAGCCCGGGTGTACGTGTATTATACATATAAACCTTCCTCTTGAATCACTCTGTCTATTAAAAAAACCGCTTCAAAATCCGTTGCGTAATTTTAAAGATTTAAGCGTACATTGGGACGGACAGTGATTGCAACTTTGTTTTATACTATATAGTGATTTATTATTTTACTAGCTTTTACCTCGGCAGGTGGAATTTATCAAGATATAAGATATCCTTTCAATGGGGATGCCTACGTCTTAGTAGCTTTATGCAGGCAAAGTCTCAGCCCGATCGGTTTAAAATTGACAAAGTTTCATACAAACTTTCATGCCCTATTTTATCCCCTTGGAGGTAGAATTAATCAAAATCCTTTCTTAGCGGATGCCTACGTCATAACATCTACGTGCGTGCCAAATTTCAGCCCGATCCCTCCAGTGGTTTCGGCTGTGCGTTGATAGATCACTATGTCAGTCACCTTTGAGTTATATATATTTAGATTTGTATTTAAATAATGTATGTTAGGGACGGACAGACAGCCACAGCGACTTTATTTTATATTATGTAATGACAAGTTGAACTTAGTCTCACACATCATCACATTTATTCAATTTACGTAATGTCTTTTTAAATTATAACCTATGTGTCCCGTATAGCAAGCAGCAACAAAACGCAAAATAAAAGGAACAAAACGCGTTCTGATTGGAGCGCACACCCATCCAATTTAAATTCACTACGTAACGTACAGACCAAAAAATCAAGGATTTAAATCATCAATCGATCGGGGCAACGTACTTTTCTGCACTCATCCTAATTTATCATTTATAATAGTTGTTTGCGCGTTTTCTAAAACCATAAAAAAAAGTTTGTAAGCCGCCACACTGTTTTTTCCCGCCCCATTTCCCTTGCACAATATGGACAATGATTATTCGCCGCCATCTAACAAGTGAAACAACCACCGAATGCATCAATTTAAATAAGGAGCTCCTTAAATATTATAACAAACTGTATTTGTGTCGCGAGTGTGGTGTATTGTTATTGAAAACCTCAAGTGCTTCAAGTCACCGACGCAGATGATCTATATACCTACTATAATTTTGTGTAATTTGGGTGAGTTCCTTATTTCCCTTTTCCTACGATCACTGCAGTGTGGCTAAAAACTACATCAATAGTATTTACCAATTAAATTCAAGAAGATCAAGCGAAATCTATCATTTCTACACCCCGTAATCAACTTAAGCCATCAACACCTACCATATATCATTCGAGCCGCATCAACACGTCCCACTGTGTTATTCTGATGTATAAATTATATTATTGTAAAGTTACATCAGAATTCGTTAAACAGTTTTTGGGTGAAATATTTCTAAATATTTATTTACTAATAAATAGAAAGATTTTTCATTTTTTAAATTCTTAACTGGAATCGAATCTACACTACACGAGAGTTATTTTAAATGTATTAAAACGAAATGAAACATTTTCTCTGAACATCAAACCCGAGCTTTTCCGAATAAGCTTATGAGATTAGGAACCATAATATGTATGTAATGTACTTTATGTCTAGAGTATTACGGTTGCTAATATAACGAAACTTGTCAACGTCTAGATTATAGCATATAAACAAACAATGTTTCAGTTGTGTTACAAGCAAGGCTGCCAATAGTAATTATTCGTTATATTCTTAGTTAGTTATATTAGTAGTTGACATTTATTATTATGTTTCGCCCAATTTACATAATATCTTTTTAAATTATAGCCTATGTGTAATTCTGATGTATAAACTATATTACTGGTAAGTTTCATCAAAATCAGGCTGCTAGGCCTATATTATAAATAACAAATAGACTAACATGCTTAAGAATCGATATTATAAAATATATATATTGATATATTGAAATTGATCCTGTGGTCACGGCACTGACGACGGCAATCTGTCACGGCAGCAATAATACACCACACCCTTCGACCGGTAGTCCTCCAGCAACATTGTGGTAACCTGGGCCACAAACGCCCTTAAAACTCGCGTTGTGACTCGACTCCAGCTGCGTCACCAGTTACTCTTAATCCGCATATAGTCGACAATGTTCTGTTTTTCGTGAAAGGGTAAAAAACAACCAACCATTGAACTATCCATCTATACTCCACTATTCAAAGAGGGAACGTTGCCTCAAGGGACCCCTTTTAATAATATATTTTAGTCATTATATTATATTTTTTAAGCTTCTTAATTTTAGGTTCGTAGTTGTACAATTAGGTTAAGTATATTTGTACATACAAAAATTAACTCCATATATTTTGCAATCTAGCTTGCATTTGTTTTTGTGTTCATAAAAAAATCTCAAACCCTTAAACCTTAACTATGGTAATAACGATATAATAATATAGTGTATAATAATTTGGTGCAACAAAAATCACCAAATTTACCAGGACTCTCGTACAACTACGAAAGAAATCCTTCAGTACGAAAAGAAAATATATCATCAGATGTTGCTACAAATTTGTAGGGTGATGATAAAGTTATGGGTAATTTTGTCACTGCAGCCAAAATGTAGCATGTAATAAGTTTTGTATGCCTAATTTTGTGTTTTTTTTCGGACTATTTTAATGCTGTTGGCCGCAGCTGGCCTTTACAGCTTCACCCGACGATAGGGGGCGAGTGCAGGTGGTACTCCAAACCCGCGAAAGGTCTTATGGAGCGACTGTAGGCCAACTCTCGCCTGACAGATACGACTTTAGTCTGAAGGCATTGCTAGGGGTTCGAAACACGGCTCAGGCCGTCGTAATATCGATCCCCGTTTCAATTAGGCGGGGGATCGATCGGATGGTGTATTTAGTATATAGCAAGTAACAACCTTTACTAAACTGGTGACTGTGAACTGCCTCCCTTCACCCATCCTCAAAATATTCCAGAGTTTCTACCTTCTTTGTACGATCCAAAAAGTTTTAACATTGCCAACCCTGGTTACACGTGACGCGCAATGAAATCGTTCCATTATTACCATAACTGTACTCGCCTTGAACTTTCAAAGAAGTTTCCATCAATTTTTTACAATGTAATTACACTCATGTGTACTGTATAACTCTATTATGTATGTTACGTTTTATTACAGTTATATACCATATTGTTACAGTTAGGGTTACTTTGTATAAAATCGCTTTACTGGGTACCTCTGGCTCATCTATTTCTGCTTTCCTATTTTCCGTTAATCCTGAGGAATGGCTGCACATGTGATGTTCACGGGAGCCTTAACTTTGTGATGCATTCCATTTTCCTATCATTATTTCAATGGGTGTAGATCCAATAAAGGTCGGAATTTTATCACTAATAGTAGAGGACATAACGTTTCGAGTAGCCGTGGTCCACTGAATATTTCTAGTTTCAACAAGCTAATCGTAGCGGAATTAAATCAAAGAATATAAATCAAATAAGTAATGAAATGTATAGAGATTTGAGCAGAATAGCCTCCACTATACTGACACATGGCTTTTAAATACAACAGGCGTCACATGAAGACATTTGGGGTTCTATTCATGTACATGTATTAGACGGTTGCCACTTTCCATTAGGTTAAATGGCATTGTGAAATCAAATCAAATCAATTTTCGTTTGATTTGATCTTTATTCAAGTATATCATTATTTGAATTTCATATCATGCATACTTTAAAAATCGTTAGAATAATTATACTTATTGTAAATAAATTATTTTTCTATCGTTTGTTCCAGATTGTGCAATACGATTACGAGCGACGCGAAGCGGCCGCGTCCACTCCGGCCACCTGCCGCACACCCACGGGTGCCGCCTTCTCATTTCACAACCTTCGCCAAAAAACGCCTTACTCATCGAACTTCACAAACTCAATGTCCCATGTTCAGCGGGGTTTATCCGCTTCGCACCCAACACGCCCACTCTGTGTGGTAAGCTGGAACAGATTCCAGTCCAAAACAGAAGGTTTCTGTACTCCAGTTACGCGAAGACTCCAGCGATAGAGCTGCACGGTCGACCCACGTTCGCCGCGACATACCGTCTAGTAGACCACTGCCATGATGTCTTACTAACGGCGAGGAACGGCTCGTTCGAAGTCGGCCCAGCAATTAAATTGTTGTGCTCTTACAAAATTCACCTGCCTTATGGTTACCGGGTCGCACTGCGCCTTCAAATGGGAACTGGACCAATGACGATTAGGGAAAACGATGTATCTAATATTATACATGAGGATGCGCATGCTCTTTGTAAAGGCATGGAATTAAGTCTAGAAGATGGGGAGTCAAAATGGCGACACTGTTCGCAACCAGGCGATCCCTTAAGAAGTGTTCAAATTGTTTCCGAGGGGAACGCTGTTCGGTTGAACATTAGTATTTTAGAGAAGAGGAATTCTTCGGCTATGTGGTTGAAAGTGTGGTGGATGGATAAGGAAGTGGAAGAGATTGTTGGACATTGTGACTATGGTTGGGTCGTTTCTGGAGACTTCTGCATATCAGCCGTGAGAGAAGCGAAGAGAGCTTGGAGACAGGCGGAAGCTGAATGTGTGAGATTAGGGGGACATCTAGCAAGTATAGTGAATGAAAGGCAACAGCAGATATTGGATCAGCTACTGCTTCACGCGTAAGTACTTATTATTTATATTACCAATCAAATACTGAACAGTTTCCAAGGAAAGATGATTCTTGCCGTTCTGTAAAATTTTTGTAAACAGATTTTGTAGCGGTTAATCCCAATGTTATGAGTATAATAGGGACATGTTTAAAATTACCGGCTCCTAACATTAGCAATTTAGACTGTCTCATGTCTGTGTGTAACGCTAACAAATCGCTTGGAATCAGTATCAGTTGATAAATATTGTAAGTACCTGTTTTCGAATTGAAGTGTGACAATTTATTAATAAAGACAATACCAAATAAATAACTATTATTGATTGTTAATTTCTGGTTACTACAATTGTCTGAAACGACTTTTCAATTATGATAACAATCATCAAAACCAAATAAATACAGTCCAGTATTCATTTAATTAATGCCCGTTACGACGTGAAATGTCGGCGCAAATTTTCACGTCAATCGCAAATCTGTTTTCATAGATTAAACGGAAACTTGTTTCGCCTGAGGACGCAAGTCGGCCCGACAGATTATTTTAATCAAGTTCAATTAACACAAAAGTTTCTTGGAAGTGTTTTCATTAAAAAAAATGTCAATTTACTCATTTACAGCGAAAGTTTTCTGGATTCAATAACATTTCCAAAAATTGTGAATCAAGCAGTTACACTTTTTTTTGGAATGTTATGACTGCACAGAAGGTGCTGGGTCTAAAAATCATAAAACTTTGCATATTATTTTATACGAAGAAAGATATTCTTTAATTATTTTGGCAAATTATAATGAGAGAAACTAAATTCGTGTAAGATCATAGGATTCGATTTATTTGTGCGATTACGCTCTATTTACGTTTGATAAATGTTTAACTCTTTACTATGTACAGATTTCTTATTTATCTAGTTCGTGCGTGACACAAATTCTAAATGTTCTATTCGCCTCAAATAATGGTCGGTAAAATGTTTCTGTTACGTTACTCAGGCTAGCCTGGTCTTACATATCTGGTTTCTCACCTCATATTAAACGAGTACTGGTAAACCGTCGCTGTAGTTAATTACCATCAACGTTACATAAATATACTACATTTACACATTATATTGAAATCCTTGAATTTTTAGCCACTGTAATTTTTTGATAATCTTTTAGCCACCCACGGTGGGAAAATTTCATCCAGATAGTCAGAATGGTATTTAAGATGTGACTGACTTGTTTCTTTCTATTGCAGCCCTGGAGCCGGAGTCGACGATGTGTACTGGATAGGAGCAACTGATGCCGTCCACGAAGGGGAGTTTCGATGGTCAGATGGACTGCCATTTTCCTATGCACGTGAGTAATATTTATTCCATTTTAGTAATTTTTAGGCTACAGAATGGCGTGATTTTTGTTCAATCTTAGTGGTTCCGATGGACCTTTGTCCAGACTATTGTTCTTTGTTGATTACCACGAGATTTCCTACACGGATAAGAACAATAATGTCGGGTTCATAGTTTCTGACAGCGGTTAAAAATCTCGTATTGTCTCAGCGTAATTGTGCTAGAAGAGATTAACGCTTAGAAAATCCTTTGTACAATAAACCCTTTTTTACATAATTAACGTACACGTTCCTTAGCTCAAGATAAATTATGTTCTTAAGCAGACATTAAAAAACTTGCAAGATTTATTGCTGTAAAAAAACTCAGAGTATCACATTTCTTACCCGCTTGCTGTGTCTTTCCCCAGACGTTTTCATGTTAAAAAGATATCTTCAAATTAATTTCTTACATTTCGTCTGCATTAGGATAATCACGTTATTCCATTTGAAATATAAATAAACATGTATCTCGTTCTACATAATTCTAATTATTAAATCTAATAGTTACAAAATACGAATTTACCATTTCAAAAAATTTACACAATTTTCATTTTTAAGGTAATCATAATATTATTAATATAGTTAAACGGGTTTTAACACAAATCATTTTATGGTAAATAAGAGTATTTACCTCTCTCGACGATTCCGAATTAGATCTTTATTTACCATAATATTATTCGTATTAAAACCGGTTTAACTACATTAATATTGTTTACTAAAAGCGGTAGTTTAAAAATAAGTAAATTATAATGTATAGTAGTAATCAGTTCCCGTCCTATATATAAGTTCGCATGGACCTTTAGTTTATCTTATATATAAAATTCTCGTGTCACAGTTTTCGTTCCCATACTCCTCCGAAACGGCTTGACCGATTCTCATGAAATTTTGTGAGCATATTTAGTAGGTCTGTGAATCGGCCAACATCTATTTTTCACCCCCTAAATATTAGGGGTAGTTCACCCCTAAATTTTTTTTTATTTTAAGGCAAAACAACGTTTGCCGGGACAGCTATTTAAAAATAAAACACGTATTAGTTATCAATAATCCACTTTCTGTAGTTGAAAGAATATTTAAAATTGGTTTAGTATTTTTAAGTTAATTCATTTGAAACAAAATTGAATCTTACCTCTTTATATTAATTTCGCTAAAAAAACAATTACTTAATGAAATGAGTAAAACTGATTGTATTGAATAATTATTGTATTGAAATAAATTATTCTTAAAAAGTGTTAATATCGCTGTAAAGAATTTGAGTGAACTCTTGTTAAAACTTAAGATCTATGATATTGTTGTTAGATTGCATATCGAATCAGGGTTGTATTAAGTCAGTCTTGACGGGAATATTGCCTTCATGCTACAGAGGCTGTCTCGATTGCTTTTGAGGATGGATTGTCATCAAGCGAGACTGAAGGGTTATGAAGTACCCCTAACTTATAGCTAGCTACCCTAGCCAGAAACTTTAAATTGTTTTTCTTTGCAGTTTTATTTTTCTATTTTACACTGATGAGATGCTGCCTTTTTTTCGTATGAGCGATGCACACACACTACGTTACTCACACGTTTATTTTCTATATATTGTATTTTGTTAACTGACCAATGTAATTGTGTATGTACTTCTTATTTTTTTTTTTTTTATATTACTGTACCCTATTTGTATGCCTTTAATGCAAATAAAAGTTTATCTATTTTACAATTTATGTTACATGTATTTATTTATTTATTTATTAAAACTTTAATGCACAAATATAAAAATAAAGGCGCAAATGGCGGACTTCACGCCATAATGCATTTTCTCCCAGTCGACCATGAGGTAAGCAGAGATTAGTGGGTGGTGCATTATTAAGAAAATAACCTGAAAATAAATAAAAGTAAGTAGGTATAAATAAAGTAAATTAATAAATTAAATATATATATCCAAATACATACATACTAAAAACACATCAACAATGAATAGTCCAGTATAAGCGAAAGATCACTTTCAATTTTCCATAAATTAATGTCGTATTTTTAATTACCGATGTCCTTGGAAAGATAATAATAATAATAATCTCAGGACAATTCACACAGCACCATCTAGACCCAAGTTAAGCTAGCTAGAGCTTGTGTTATGGGTACTAGATAACTGATACAAATACATAGATTTTTTTTGTAAATACATACATATTATACATAGAAAATACCCAGACCGATACAAACAATCATCTTATGAATACAAATGTTTGTGCCGTGCGAGGAATCGAATCCGCGACCATCGGTCGTAAAGCGGTGTGTTACACCGCTAGACCACCGAGGTCGTCAGACCACCGAAGTCGTCAAGATGATTACGGGACATACAAAACGGGCACGATACAAAACGGGAGAAATGCGATGCAGACGAAATTACACATCAGTTCGTATGTAAACAAAGATTGTATAGATATTAGAATGCAGTGTACAGAAACCAGTTTCACCACAAACGACGTAAGATACGGTTTGCAGCGGCTGTAATTCTCTGTCTGACTCGTAAAGGATTAGTGTGGTTTCAGAGCTCTCTCCCGCGTACACTTAGGTTTTGGATTTTACTACCTGCCAATGTTTTGCAAGAACATTAAAGTTTCTTAAGGGTCGAGTTTTTCAAGAATATTAAGGTTTTGGAGAGGTCGGTAATGCGTATGTGACATCCCTAGTGTTTCAGACATCCATACGCTACAGTAACCATTTACCATCAGATGGGGCGTATGCTACCATCGTAGCATAAAAAAGCGTTTTATTACCATCAGGTATGCCTTCATATGTATATACCATTCCAATGTCTGATATCTGATGGTAAACGGTTATGTTTACCATGCCATGACAGCTGGGCGTATGCTTGATTGCAACCATCGTTCTTTAAAACAAAAGTCTTGAAGATACATATATATATATATACTGTTGCTACATATTTACAGAAATATCACAAAATTTTTAAAATTCCCCATTAATAAGTATTCCACGTTTAAATGTAACATGAATTTCGCAATAAAAAAATATATTTCCGCTTAATGTATTTTCGGCACGAACATTGAAGGAATCGTTTCATTCCGCCAGTGTCATTGTACCCTTTATTTGGGTATCATTTTTTATATTATGTATTAGTATTCTATAGTGACTACTGAATTTTGGTGTCATTTTTGTCTGTTTGAGTTTCGATTTGATAGAGATATTCAGTGGATATACAGCAGTAATATAATTTACTGAGTTCATTACATCATAGCCATCATAGTTCATCAGCCTACTGCAGTCCACTGCTGGACATAGGCCTCTCCCAAGGCACGCCACTGGGCACGATCTTCAGCCCTTCTCTTCCAGTTATTACCCGCAAAACGTATGTCGTCGCTCCACCTAGCTGCGGGGCGTCCTACACTGCATTCGCCTATTCGTGGTTTCCACTCTAGAATATGCCTACTCTAGCGATCGGTTCTGTGACAGAAATGACCAGCCCACTGCCATTTCAGCTTATAAATACGAAGTGCTATATCGGTGACCTTAGTTCTCTGGCGAATTACTTTGTTTCGGATTTTATCTATCAGAGAAATTCCAAGCATAGCTCTTTCCATAGCTCGTTAAGCGACTTTGAGTTGGTGGACCAGTCGTATCGTCAGTGTCCGCATTTCGGTATCGTAAGTAATAACGGGTAGGACGCAGTGGTTATAAACCTTGGTCTTAAGGCTTTGTGGTAGCGACCACGAAAAGACTTGACGAAATTTCCCAAAAGAGTTCAAAATTCAATATATCTTTATTCATGTAGGTCTATTACAGACTCTTATGATATGTCAGTTCGGAATGATTTCGAGATGAGAAGAACTGACAAGATACTCAGCTCGTATTCTTTCAAATAAATGTTGTACATGTTTACAATAATACAGATTCATTTTTAAATTCAAATTTGGGAGAATAGAGTGACCACCAGCATATGCTATTGCAAAAGCAAATACTCTAATCAGCGTTCGTAAACCGAACAGACTAGTCCCCACACGCAGCATTGCATTGTGTTCATCAAGTTGTACGGAAGACATAACTGTTACTTAGCAACAAAAGTACTTATTTAATTTGTGATGGATTTTGCTGTTAATTTAATCAATGTACCAAATACAGTATAAGCCGCAAAAGTTCGAAACTTTAAATATTTTATAGCATACGTAAACATTTATGAGTTCAGCATTACTTCCTTACTAAAAGCGAAAGTAACTGTCTGTGTGTCTGTCTGCTGCGCTTTCATGCCAAAACTGCTGAACTTACTTAAATGGAATTCGGTACACAGAAAATCTAGACTCTCGAGAAATTTTGTAAAATGATTAGCCTAAATAATTAAAAATGCTACCCAAAGTCACTTATTCTTCGTGGACGAAGTTTTGGACACAACTTAAAGCCTACTAAATGCCCTTTTTAATTCTGAAGCTTAATTCCGCTCCTTAATTTTATAATATCATCCTGCACTGGTGCCCCGCTAGCGTATATTATTAGCGTAGATGGGTGCACCATTCCATTAATATCATCCATTTATATACATATATATAACTAATTTGTACAAATACGTATAATATATCGAAACTCATATTTTAGTCATATCCTATAATTTTGTTCACTGTGATCATAATTATGTAGGAAAGGTCCAATAATTTTGTCGGCCATTTAGGAAATTACTTGACTCAGCCATACTATTAGAGCAGTATCATTCGCCCTAAATCTTTCATACACTGAAATGGTCAGTGTTATTTGGGCCAATAATTTATGGTTTAATGTTCTGTAGATAGAACAGAAGAATGTGGGAAACTCAACTTCAATCACAACAGTTTAGTTCAATTTCAAAAATGTCTGTAGTTTAATTTCGTTGGTATTGTAAATTCAAATTGATGCATGATTATGCTATATTGGTATTTTTTAAGATTATTCGCCTTTCGTCCAAATACCAAAAGTACTAATAGCAATATTTATTTATATTTATATTTAACTTCGA